GTGTCTTGTGTTGAGTCGAGCTTTGTTGCATGCGTTGCACTTACAAATAAAATTGTTGCATTTAAGAAGCAGTAACAACGCCTAGAAGAAGAACGAGCGACAGCAACTCTTTTATTATTATTGCTGTGCTTCCTCTCGCAAAGAACTAAAAGGGGTTGCTGCAACACTTGCCGCATGGCCTCGAGGGCAGCTTGTAAATTTCGAACGTTGATGTTTTTATTATGATTAAAGGTAATGGGGTGTGGCTAGCTGTATTAGCCATGCACAATTATGGCCAGACTGATGCTCAAAATAAGTTGTTGAAGTTGTTCAACTTTGCGTGGGCGTTGCCAGGCGCGGAATGTCGCCTCGTTTAAGATTTTTATTCTTGTCTGTTTTGTGACTGTGACCCAGGCAGACGCAGCGACTCCGACTCCGACTTCAACTTCAACTCCGACTTTAACTTCGCGGATCGAAGCTGAGGCACAGTGAAAACCACCTGCTGAGCCCGAACACAAGGCACTGTAATCAGTTTAAATAACTGCAGCAGAGTATTGGGGGAGAAGCCAGCAGGCTTTTTGACTGCAGCGGTGGTGGTGGTGGTGTGCTGGTGAACACCACTCTGACATTTGACTGTGGTGCCACAATGAACACGCCATAAAGCAAAAGTCAAACAAAAAATTAATAAAAACGTGTCTACGGATCGACACCGGGCAAACGGTCATCGCGAGTTTTGCAGTTGGCTGTTTTGCATGTCGAACGATCGATCAAAATATTAACGAGGGTATGCCTCTAAAGTCCGACACACCACATACATATGCATATGCATACCTACATACATATATGCATACCTCTACTTAGAGCTGATGCCAAACGGTGCCAGGTAAAGCCAGTGTGTAGGGCTCTCGCTCTCTGAGCCTTTTGGCCCCGAAACGAAGTTATCTGGCATTAAAAGCGCGTATAAAACTGTCAAATTGCTTTGTGTTGGCCAAAAATTATGGGCCATCATTAGCGTTCAGCTTGTATGCAGTTTGTTAAGTGAAATTGAAAACAGCATTCAAGAGACCTTCGACTTTGCCAGTGATCCTTTAGAGCTTTGCAGTGTTTTCACATATTTTCGTTTCTAACGCACGTGTTGACAGCTTATTAATGTTTGGCTATAAATCGCAGCTTAGCACAAAAAAGGCTGGCAACATGATCAGAGAACATGAATATAGATCTGGCAACACTGTTGCAGGCGTTGTCAAAATTTTTATAGAAATTTCCAAGTAAATAGTTAAATTTGAATGGATGATTAATATTCTATGATCATCTAAACTGAAATATATATTTATTTTATTTTTCTCAGACAATTTTGTTAGTCATATCCATGTATCTATTAGCCTTAAGCAAATAATTCAATTTGGTGGAATATTAATATTATACACTATGATTATATAACTAGAAATTATATTTATTTTATTTCTTTACGTCAAAAACGTTGGCATTTTTCTTAGAAAAATTTGTTAGCATTATCTTCATCAATATAACTATTTTGCTTTAAGCAGTTTTATAAATAAATATTAAAATATTTTTTTAAAGTTAAAAGTCTAATCGCTTATCATAAATAAATAATAATAAAGTAGATTGAAAGTATTAAATATTGATTAAATATTGATTTTAATTTGTGCTTTTGTTGCATGTATAAATCCAGAAAATGATTTCTGTGTTTATCTATCCACATATTAATCTCTAAAGCAACTGCAGCTCTTTTTTCACTAAAAAAACCTTGCTAATTTTCACTCTTGAGCGTTTCTAAACATGCAAACTCTTAGAAATAGTTATATGAATTCAAAGAATTTCGCTGGGTGGTCCCCCAACAGCTTGTTGATGATTAGAAACATAGGCAAATGCAATCAATGCACTGAGCTCTTGGAAAACTCATCGTAAATACAGCATATAGTTAGGGGGGCATTTGAGATGAGGCAGGCAGGGCGTATAGGTGCTGTCAAAAGTGACAGCTATAATTGCGACGTCATAATGCTGCGTCATGTCTATGACAGTTTAATTGTGGCTAGGAAAGCGCGCAATTACATGTCGACCGTAGCACTGCAAAAAATATCTACATACACATTAATAGAGGCTGAAAATGTGGAAATATAATTGAAAGAAAATTTGCATTGGCAGGCAACTTGTTAGACCACGACTGCTGTTGCTGCTGCTGCTGCTGCTGCTACTGCTGCTGTTGCTGCTTTGCACCCAATTAAAATGTTTCACACGTTTGCATAATTAATACTCAAATAGCGCGCACTTGTCGGCGAAATGCCCAGACATGAACAAGGGTGGGAGGGGCTTTGCCTAAAGCGGCGCGGCACTGGCATAGTATATTATACTGTGCCAGGGGCAAACTAAAAAGATATGCGACAAATATGAGATGAGACGGTTGAGTTGAGTCGAATGTTAAATGCGCTGCAAGGGCAGAATTCAGGCAGCCAGAGAGCCGGTGTGAGGCGGATTGAGTATTGACAAAAGTCACAGAGAAGCGAAGACATTTTAAAGAATATTATGTATAAAAGGCATAAATAAATTTTGCATATTTATTTATTTAACTAAACTGATTATGGCTAAAAAGTTAGTATTCATATTTATTCGTAAAATATTTATTTTTAATATTTATGCGTAAAATATGTATATTTATAAAATATATTTCGAAAGAATGTGTCTGGGAATATACACAATATATAATATTTTATAAATATTTTTAAAAATGTAAATATAAAATAAAAAAAAATTAAAAAAAAAATAAATAAAAATAAGTAAAAAAAATGTTTTTTGCTATTTCATTTCAATTGTAACAATTAAGCTTTATATATTCATTAATAATATTCATAAATCATCAGTATTTCATAACAACATTGTAATATTCTCTTGCAGAAAGAGCAAACTGAAATTCAATGCTCGTGGCGGCATTTCTCAGAAGTTCTCGTTTCACTGTTGTCGAAATTGTTAATTATGATATTTGCCTTGAGAGTCGGACTGCATTTTGACAGAAATGGGGGCTGGCTGCGTTATTATTTAAGCGCATGACAAATAAAAATGTTGCAAATATGCAAAGCAGAACCAAATGCAGGCGAAGTGAGTGAGAGCGAGGCGAAATAAAAGGTTGCCACGGCGCGTTGCATGAAACTGACGGGGAAAATGTTACTTGGTTAGCAGCTCGGCAGCAGACAAAACTGTCATCTGTCAATTTGACAGTTTAACTAGGTAATTAGTGTGTGCACAACAAACACACACCCATACGGGCGCATACTCTCTGTGCCTGTCAGTGGGCACTAAAAAATAAAGAAACACTTGAGCCTGCCACAGATTCTCAATTTCATTTGCTACTGCCACTGAAATGTCTCTCTTCCGCTTGTAATTCATCATTTGACGCGCACTGGCAGCACTACACTCTTCTTCTTCTTCTTGTTTTTTTTTTGTGCTTCAGATCTGGTTGCTCTCTCTCTGTTCCATCTAGTTGAATGATATGCGGACGCGCGCATACTTCCTGCTATCCCAGTTGCTTCTTGGCTTGGCTCCTGCAATTACAGCACTTTTAAGTGCTTCATTGCCAACTTCATTGCAGCGCAACGTCATTATCATCTTGTACATGATCATCATCATCATCATCATTGTCTTCGCTGCGTTTGTCATTCGAGTGGAACCAAACAGACGAGTTCGCAAATAAATCATCTTGTGCTAACCCCAACTCTGTAAGTTTTCCTTTTACCACCTCCGCACCTTCGCTCCCCTTCTGTTCGCATACCATTTGTTGTGCTACTTTGCTTTATTCCTGCTCTTCACACACTTTACTTTAGTTCGTTCTGCTAGTTTTCTTATGCTTGCGGAAAATTATGTTGCCGCACTCGGGATTATGTGGGCAATTGAGTGGTTCTGCTTTTGTAATAAATGTTTTGGATTCGTAATTAAAAGATTTTTTTAGATGGAAGGAAACTGAAGAGAATATTAAGTATTTAATTATGTAATGCAGTGAAGAGAATATACAAATTGCTTGGATTTATATTTTATTTAATTATTATATTTTGTATTATAACTATAAATACCAATTTCAATAATATTTCTGCTGCTCTTTTCAATAACTCTCCATGCCTTCTGTTGAGCTGTCGAGAAGCAAGTGTCTTTGCATCCCTTTTATCTCATCTTCGTAAACGTTTTGCATATTAAATTCTGCTCACTCATTCCATACAACCTTGAGAAGGTGCTCAATTGCTGGGGCTTGACTGCACTTGAACAGTTCCTAGTTACAGGTTGGTTACAGTCAAGCGATTTATATTCTTTTCCTTTTTTTTTTGCGTAGCTATTTTGAGTTTTGCAGGCTTGTAGAAACCATTCATTTGGCACACAAATGAATATGTAAGGCATTTAGCAGGTAGTTAATTGGCCAGCTGGCATATGAAGCTCACTGGACAGGATTAAAGAGACGCATCTTGACTTGAGTTTACATTTAATGAACTGTTTTAACTGCGACGGTTGCATGTTGAAGCAAGCAGCAGAGCCAGACACATCATTATTAAAATCACCTGTAATCAAGTTCAAACGTCAAAAACTAGATAACTAGAGCAGTGCCACTCACACACACACACACACACACAGACACACACATAGAAAATACACACGAATACACAGACACTTGCAAGAGGCAGCGATCAAAACAACATCAAAACCGATTTAAAATCGATTAACCTGTTTCTCTGTGGCACTTCATAAGCCAAGTGGCTGACGCCGAAAACTGTGTGCGGCAACAGGCAACAGGCGACTGGCAATAACAACAACAACAACAACAACATGCAACAGGTTGATTTACGGCAAATTCTCACATGTCGGAGCAACAACAACAACAGCAACGAGAATTCAACTTGAAAGCGGCTGCAGCTAAAGAAAAAATGAAACACGTGAAGAACACAGAAATGTTGCCGCTGCCGATGACGCCGACAGAACGTTCAACAGTGAACACGCCCACAACACTAAAGGCAAAAGGCTAACAGCAGCAACAACAACAACAAACAGCTCAAACCCAGCTCAGACTGAGGTGAGAAAATGTGATTAGAATTTTGGTTTTTTCTTCATTTTTTATTTTTACTTGGGTTTAAGCCACAAGCTTTGCGTGCGTCTGTCGGCTAAGATTTTTGATTTTTGGCTTAATTTTGATTTTATTTTAAGTTTTTGTTTTTTTTTTGTACAGACTGCTGTTTGTTGCTTGCCGCCAGCAATAATTTTTGATCTAATGTGGGCAGCTGCCTAAAGAGCAAACGGCAACAATTTATTGAAAAACTTATTAAAAATGAATTAAAATGTAGCAGCTCAACCTATTTTGTTATAATTGTAATTGGTTGAGAGGCCAGGTATATCAAAAAT